CCCCCCCCCTCCCTCCCCCTCGCAATATTGTTCCCTATCTCCGGGACCCCTCGTGCCCGGCGTGATGCTTTGATAACCAACCCACAGGGCGATGAAATTCAGACGTTGCGAGGGCACAGAGACAGGGTTTACTCGACTGACTTCCACCCCACCGAGCCGAAGCTCGTCTCTTCCAGCGCGGACAAGACTGTGCTGATATGGGAGCCGAACAGGAAACGCAACTCACGGAAATGATTTTGATCAGCAGATGCATGAGGGTTGCGCGACTTGGCATTTCAGGGAGCAAAACTTGATTTGTGCACTACGTAGATCGAGGGTCCTTCGTAGATCTTGATTCGGAGATTTTCCTTCACAGGGTTTTGTAATAGGATCAACAGAATTAATGTACTTAGTAGTCGATAACATGCGCGCCCGCGCGCGTGTCAGCTGCTCCTTTTGTCGCTTTTTTTATCTTCTTTTCGAAGGCTGACGACCGGCGGACTCACGACTGAAGAAGCCCCACCAACGAATTGGATGCACGGAAGGGATGTGTGTCGTCTTCCTCCCCGTACATCCTCCCCCGCCGAGTCTTGTTCATTGGTTTACCCGAACACGTAACAATGTTGCTGTCGAACTGCAGGGGGGGCTCTCTGGAACGGAAGGTATCCTGCCCCCCCCCGCCGGAGAAGTTAGGTGGTGTTCTACTTATGGAACACATCCAAAGTTGTATTGCCGCAGCTGGTTGGACGAACACGCATAAGCTGGACCTGCAGGCAGCATTGAGGCCCGTGATGGTAGTTTTGGGATCCGTTTGTTGAACGGCGTCCTCCATCTGGTGGGCTGTGGAAACGGAGGGGGGGTGGGGTGTAGTCATACTCGTGCATGCCGTAGTCGTTAGACCATTGACCTCCGGGGGGTACTGTTTACGAAGACCAAGGCAAGGCGTGTCCATGGACAATGGGAGCGAGGCAGAGAGGAGATCCACAATCGCCTCTTGAGGCACGATTTCGTTTGTCGGAACAGGAGTTGATGATACTTGTGTAGTAGTCTGGGGGAGAAAAATGTTCCGTGGGACAGGCGGGCGTTTTTTCCCGTGTTTTTTGTTGGCCAAGCGAAGGCGGGGAAGGATGGCGAGAAACAGAAAGGAAGCTGCTGTTTTAGCCTCGATGAAGGAAATGATGAGCTACGGGGGAGAACTACACATCTATCTCTCCTGCGCTGCCCGCCGACACTGCGGGTCAAACTGTTGTAGCCACTGTTAACTGAGGCCCTTCGTGTTCATGGAATCTTCGGAGCTGTTAAGGCATCACGGACGCCGTGGCGCTTCACACTGCAGAGGTAGACGTTGCTTGTATGCTATGCGAAGCGAGTATCCCAACTTCGACCCCACCGGTTCTTTCTTAACACGGGTAGAAAGCTGGACCATTCCTTTAGACGGTCGTCGCGATGACATCAAATGCAATGAACGGCTTGGAGGCAGGCGGTAGCTTCACATCCGAGGAGGCATGTGTACGCTGCATGGGTAGAGTTTAGTTGCTGCGGGCGGCCGCTTTCGATGGATTGAGTTCCAAAAAGAGCACGGAGTGTTGGTGGTAGACTTCACAACTTCATTCGCCAAAAATGAGACCAATCGCCATCAACCAAACGCTGCACCTTTTGCACTGGATGCTGTCCAGGGTACGTTGTGTGACTTGCCTTGACACACGAGGATCGTTATAGCCTGGGCGGATTGACTAATAGGTGTCTGTCGGCGCAGCGAGTGTTCGCGCAGGGTGAAGTAGAACATGCACGAATGCTGGCGATTGGGAGAAGCGGGCCGAATGGAATGTCTGCAACAAAACCCAGACGGAGGGACAACTTACGACAGGCAGATTATGATTGCCATTATTGATCATGCGTTGGGGAGACTAGAACCGAACAGCGTCAAGTCCGCATATATTCTTCTTACAAAACCCTGCCAAGTCCAGTCAATATCCACAGACGCGAAGGGGTCGACACACCGTCACCAATGCCACGCACAGCACCTGTCTATTTCGTTGCCCAGTGGTATCAATAGTCCACTATTCCCACGACTCTCCGCACACCCGGAGGGGGGGGG